GTGTGCCAAGCCCAGTGCCCAGCTGGGGGTGCAGGGCCTGGATTAAAGCCCCTCATGAGTATTGGCACACCAGGAAGGGCTCCTGGGTACCTGCAACTGTGGCTCTTGCCACTTAGGATCCGTCTCAGCACCCTGCAGATCCTGCAGGTGCCTCTGGCGCTCGTCCCTGGCTTGGCTCCACTGCTTCAGCTGGTGCAGCAGCATGTCACACACCTTCACCTGGTCATGGACTTGGGCCTCGATCTTCTTTATGGCCACCTGGATGGGCATGAGACCATTTTCCAGGCTGGATGCTGCAGGAGAACAGGGTGCTTCCCAGAAAACTCCCCCCAAACTAGAGCTGGGGACACCGAGACACTGCTCCAGGATGTTGTCACTGCTTTGACAGGATAGGGTCTGGGTGAGTTTTGCTCTGGGGGCTGGCTGGGATAAGGCAGAGGTGGGCAACTGCTGGTGGCAGGGCTGGGCTGGACTTAGGGACTCTGCATACCATGGAGCAGGGCTGGGGATCAATAAAATCGATCAGGGCCCAGATGGGGATGTTGTCAGAGAGCAGCAGCACCACTGTCACTGCACGAGGCCTCTGGGCAAAGGCAGCTCTGCAGGCACAGCGCCTCGATCTCCACGGGTTTGTAACCAGGGCACAACCTTGGGACAGGCAGGGAAGGGCAGGGGCAGCAGCTCTCTGCCAGGGATGCAACTGCACCCTGTATGAACACAGGCAGTGCCAGGGACACGTGGGGTGGGACAGCCAGGAGGGCTGCTGGGACAAAGGGGCTGCATGGATAGGCCCCATTGGACCAGACATGAACACCCCGTGTCTCCACAGCAGCCCCGTAGGGCTGTCCTGGTGCTGGCACCATGTCCCTCTGCCATGCAGTGTTCTCAGTGTCCCCAGAGCCCCAGCCCCTATGAGAAACCCCAGCCCTGCCATTACCTCCAGGTTCTCAGTGGCTGGAACGAGCTCATGGCCCTCTCCAAAAGCATCCTTAATGGGGAATTTGTTGTACTGTGGGCAGGGGAGAAACAAAGGGATGGCCATTGTCAGCCTGGGAATGACATTTTTTGCTGGCCTGTGCTGCCAGCTCCTGGAGGGGCTGGGGATGCAGGCCCAGCACCAGGCAGGGGTGCAGCAGGAAGGACCTGCTGGTACCTTCAGGACAAAGTCCAGGATATTGGAGTCCTCCTGCAAGGCCGTCCGCAGGCTGGGGAGCAGCTCCCTGTTCTGCCGGAGCTTTTCCTCGCAGGACTGAGCGAAAATCTTCCTGCCTTGCTCTGGGGGGACATCAGGCAGCCAATGGTAGTGTGTGGGACAAGGGGGCTGCGACCCCTGTCCCCGAGCAGCCCGAGGCAGCACCTTGCAGGTCCACGAGGACACGCATCTCCTGGCTGCGCTGGCTCAGGCTGGCCTTGGGGCCCCGCGTGCCGCCGGGGGCCTCCATCCCTCAGCCCACCATTCACAGTCCCCGTGGGACAGACGCCGAGGCCCGGCTGCCCCAGGAGGTATCTCAGCGCTGGGAGCGCAGGGTTCCACCG